TTTGTTCTTTTGAATGTTCATCAGAATTAATACTCCAAATCTACAGTATGGCAGCTGTCAGCTTTGTTGGGCGTTTTCAGTGGTAATTAACATGCTGAGATATAGCGGGTGGACACCAAAATCTGTGTGTGTTGTAGTGTTATTTTTAATGCTAGGTCAGGTGACCTTAGAATTGATATAGTTGCAGTCTGGAACTGTATGCACGTGAGTTTGTGTATCTCTGACCTGCCAGTTGACACCATAAAGCAGTAGTTGGATCATAGAGTGTCTGTCTGCGTGTTTGTGATAGTGTGTGTGTGTGTGTGTCTGCCTGAATGCTTGATAATTGACATGCTGTAAAGCAGCAGGGGAAGACTTGTTTGTGCTCTGCCGCTGAAGGCAGCTAGTGGGGGGAGGACACTCTGTCAAGGCACGGCCTGAAGGACCCAAACTTGGCCCGGCGCTGATGGCCTTGGTCTGCTAAGATATTGCAGCCATCTGGTAACGACACCCAGTCTGAATGGAGCCTAACAAGCCATAACGAGCACATTACCAGGGCAGAGCTGCGTTGTCTGCTCTTTGCCACAGACCTAGTTGTAAACTAAAACCACAGTGATTGCATGTGTCTGTGTCACAGTGGCTAAATCCTCATTCACGGTGCTACAGTGTTTAGCATGGCAGAATAAGGAGCTCAGCTTGCTCAACTGAAATATTTAGTTGCACTTTTCTTTTTTTTTTAGGGCCCTGTTTACACCTGATATTAAAATGCGTTAATAAAATCCGATCTCAAGTGGACAATGCTAAGTGCAGTTGTAAATGGGGTGTGAAACATTTTGATCTTGTCCGTATTTGACCACTCCAGAGGTAGTCGAAAACACATTAGACCGGGTTGCTTTTGTAGTGTAGACGCTCATGTGGTTGAATGCATTTGAACAGCCATTTCGTAAGTTTGGTTGAAAAGCGAAAAATGTAGCACAAACTCACAGTGTTTGGTGTAGTTTTGCGGCTATCAGAGCAGAAACAAAGCTGCTGCTTTCTGTATCATTTTCCGTTGTCTCTTCACATTCATAAGTAAATTGCGTGAGCTTATTTCTCAATATTAGACTGGTAGATCAGAAAAGCTCATGCATACACCTGCCTATAGACCCTTCCCTCAAAGAAATCAGGAAAGTGGTTAAAAGTGGAATGTTTTTAAATAAGTCTCTTATGCTCACCAAGGTTGCATTTATTTAATCAAAAATACAGTGAAACAGTAATATAGTTAAAAATTGAAATAACTGTTTATCTATTTTAATATATATATATATATATATATATATATATTTTAAAATCTAATTTATTCCTGTGATGGCAAAGCTGAATTTTCAGCAACCATTAGTCCAGTCCTCAGTGATCTTTCAGAAACCATTCTAATTTGTTTATTTGGTGCTCAAGAAACATTGCTTATTATCACCAGTTTTTAAGATGGTTGTGCTGCTTAAATTTTTTTTTGTGTGTGGAAACTTATGATTCAGAGTTTGTTGATGAACAGAAAGTTCAAAAGAACAGAATTAATTTGAAATATTTTTTTAACAGAAAATACTTTTGTACATAAACTTAATGCATCCTTGCTGAATAAAAGTATTAATTTCTTTAAAAAATATATTGAACAGTAGTGTATGTGCTGCCACATAGAGTTTTGGTCTTAAAATAAATGTCAGATAAATGTTTTTTTTTTTTTTGTAATGGTAAACTATCCAGTTGAGGTACAACGGTTAGATGGTTTGTATGTTTTTGTTTTTAATCATGCATGTTTAAAATGTGAGTGTTCATTTTTGACCCTGCCTTCAACATTTCCAAAACCAACAAAATAACAGTCATGTAATATTCCTCTCTCAATTTTTGCTCGTGTGCCAGTGTTTACCCTTCCGCCTGCCAAAAGTGGCACAAGGTTTCTGACCCCTGATTTGTGTTAGATGGATATTATACTTACGCCATGCATGCAACAAAGCAGTCTCTTGGTATCAAAATGTAAATTTAGGACATAGTAGAATTTGGTACAGTTTTCTCGTTGCCAAAGAAGTTAATTCAGTGTGTAACTGAAATATGCAAATTTAGCCAGTTAGCCAGTTAGTTGGAATGATGCTTTATGAGTGTCATTAGCCTGGACAGAAACGACTGCATCAATCATCTAACCCCGTGTGCTAACAGATACAAACCCATGCTTGTTTTAAATGCTGTGATCTTTCACACCCTGGCTTAATGAATCTCAATGAGCTCTCACAGTGTGAGTAGAGCTCATGTCATACACTACAGTAGCTGAGTGAGTGTTACTCCTCCTTAGCATATTATCATCTCAGAGCTAACGAAAAGTCTAATGAGTGTAATAAGAACGGGGAATGCTCATGGGAAGAGGAGGCTCAACGCTGTGATTTTAACTTTATAATTGCTGTAATTGTTGTGCCTTTGTTTTGTGATGTTTCTAGAATGATAAACTTTCCAATCTGGACTCAAACTGACCCCAACGGACCTAAAGAAGCCATGAAAGATCTGCAATAGACAGTAATGTTATCTTCTATTGACAGCTGAACCCTGTCATGCTAGTCCCTGTGTAGCGCTTATTAATGACTCCACTGTACATTAATGAGTAATTTTAGATGTCTCATGGCTGAAGAATTATAGGCTTTATGCTGTTACAATAAAGCCCCTCACCACACAACCCCCCCTCCTCGACTTAAAAAAAAAACTAATAACTGTCACAGATTGAGATGAAGGCTATAATCAGGTTCCTGTGTTTAAAAAAATGGCTGTCTCAGTGCTGTCACCAGCTAAAGTGGCTGTGATTTCTAAGATTATTATGTTAGCTGTTCTTTGTTCACTCTGTATTTTTTCTTTGTCGGAAAAGAAAATGCCTAGCTATGCTTCTTTTGCTCTAGTTAAAAGGAAGGGAGGAATAAGGGGGGTTGAGAAGGACAAAAAAATGAAGTATAAACGAGATTAACTTCTATGGATCAAGGGCCTGTGTGACATTATTTATAGTAGTTATTTACTATTTATTATAAAAGATTACTGTAATTTTAAAGGATTGTCACTGTATATTATAAAGGGCAGAACAGGTACAGCAGCAGTTAAAGGGCTGATTAATTTCTGAGGGGGTGGAAAATATCCAATTAGTTCTTGCTAAACAGTTTACTGGGAAATAATGCAACAGTCTCATTTACTGTATAAACAGCATAAATGTCATAAACTGGGTTTTGTGCTCAAATGCTGGATGTATAATTAAAAATAATGTGCATAACATATTCAGAATTCAATTTTACTGTATGTGGAACAGCATGTTTTGCTAAACAAAATATTTTATTCATCGGCAAGAGTTATAGACATAGTTTTCAACAATTTATGCCCTGTTTTTTAAAATCATGTAAAATCCTTTTATGTTTGATAATTAAATCGACGGACTTCTTGTGAAGTTAATTACATGGTTTAATTGAATTTCATTGTAATTAAGGAATTATTTTATAACAGACTCACTGTATTGGTACATTTCCAGGAATTAATCAGGTTCATAAACAGAGAGCCATCTGCCAATCCAGTAGGCAATCTGTAAAGTTTTAGCTTTTACTTTTTTGTTATTGAGATAGAAGACTGAGATGAATAACTTAGCAGTTATTCTTATGAAGTCAGGATGATTCGGAAGGAGTGGCAGATCTTTTATTCCTAATTGTGATGTTCATCCGAGTGTAACTGATTATCGAAAAATAAATCATTTAGGGCAGTTCTGTGTATCCGTTGTTGTTTGGAATGTAAGATGTGGGCGCGCATTTAAAAATGGAGGCAGACAAATGCGAGTTTGTAGAGACAGGGGACTAAAGTGGACTAAGTGAACTAAATGATTTAGAAAAGTCCGGCATGCATCACCAGAGAGAAGTCTGTTGTTTTCATCGGAAAATTGCATTTTGGGATTTTAATTAAAAATTTGATAAAATAAAATAAAACCTGCATGGATATCGTTCACAATAGGATCAATGCATTTCAAAAATATTTCATGCCTACACAATAATAACCTTTTACATTGCAATCCTTTCATTTTTAATATTTGGCATGTTTGTGTGCTGCTGAGTGTACGCACGCTGTGGACCCGCCTATACTACCGCGCTCTTTAAATAACAAAAAAACTACTGCGCCATTGACTTTAGACCAGGTTTTTGTTGGTCAATGGCGCAGTCTATTTCAGTTGCCACGCGCCAAATAGCAACGCGCCAGCAATGCGCCTGAACACACCTTGTTTTCAGACCAGCACGCCCACCGCCCACCGATTCTACATCGCTGCCTGTTTAGCCCCGCCCACCGATTCGCACATGTAGGCCTATTTTAACGATCTAAGCGCATGGTCTAAAGCGCACGGCACAGGTGCACTTAGGGGGTGTCCAAATCCACTTTTGCTAGTTTAAGGACGGGAAAACCGGTCGGCGCACCCGGCGCATGGCGCATTGCGCCAAGTGTATGACAGGGCCCTAAGTGTCATGCATAGAAGGAACTGTGAATATTTAATGTCTGGTAAAATTGTGATATGAGTGAGGATGTTTGTGCTGGAATTTAACTTTTTTTAAGGTTGTGCTGCATATTCACTGCAGTTATCATCAGTACCAGATCCTAGAGCATTACTGTTTACTCCTATAAAGTTATTGTCCACAGTCCGCACTTAGTTTCAGTGATATAATGAAAAAGTCATACAATTGCTCATCCATGAAATGCATCCACTAACATATAGCTGCAAATTTATTTTGTTTATGATGTATGTATTATGATGTTTTTCTCTGACCTGTATGTTATTTTTTTGTTTGAGTTTTTCCATTTGTGTTTGTTAGACTCATCGTGACCCACAACTTTAGTTCTTTCTAATATCACTCACAGGATGTAGTATTCTCTTGTACTCTTGTTGCTTTTTACAATCAAGATCCATTTGATTTGCTGTTTAAGTGTTTTATTAATGTTTTTTTGTGTGTGTGTGTGTATGTGTGTGTATGTGTGTGTCTCACTAGCCTTCGTAACCCTTCTAAATGGTGACCAGGCACAGGATGCCATCCGAACTCTGCACCAGACATCAGTCCGAGGCCGTGACATCACCGTCCAGCTTCAGCCCACGGACTCTCTCCTGTGTGTCACCAACCTGCCCTACACAGTCACTGCCAGCCAGTTTCAGGAGCTGGTGCGCTCCTACGGCAACATTGAACGATGTTTCCTGGTGTACAGCGACCTTACGGGCCACTCCAAAGGCTACGGCTTTGTGGAGTACATGAAGAAGGACTCGGCCTCCAGGGCACGATCAGAACTCTTGGGCAAACCACTGGGCGACCGTGCACTCATGGTGCAATGGGCTGACGTCAACCAGCTGACCTCTGCTGACCACCTCCACTCCAAGTGCCTATGCGTGGATCGCCTGCCGCTAGACTTTGAAGACTCGGAGGAGCTGGCGCACATTTTTTCAGAAAGCTACAAACCCGTCTTCTGCCAGGTGAGATGTGAAAAAAGTAACAGGGTGTTTGTATTTAGGCATTTCACCTCCACCGACACGGCTGGAAAGAATTATTCTATAGAAAAAATGATTTTGCTATTTGGTGAAGTAAGGGAGATAATATTTCTTATTCCAACAGAGAAATGATTTCTATAGTTTCGACACGCAAGCTTCTATAAGCTTTCTATAGCTACTGCAGTCCAGTGGAATGTGTTGGTTGCTGCCACTTGCAGTCTTTTAAAGAGATAGTTCACCCAAAAAATGAAAGTTTTTGCCATCATTTAATCACTGTTTGTTTCAAGCTTGTATGACTTTCTTTATTCTGTGGAACACAAAAGGAGACGTTTAGCACATTGTTGCTGGTGCTCTTTTTCATACAATGAAAAGATGGGACCTGTCAAACTCCAGAAAAAGTTTGTATAAAAGTTTGTGAGACAAATTAGTCCAGTAACAGCTGAAGTTCTTTTGATTCACTTAGAAGAACCAGCTCATTTGAGTCATTCATTTAGGAATCCAGCCACAATGATTGTGCTGTATGTTTTGAATTCACATAAAAATGGCATATAAGAGTCGTTTGTTGGAGAATGAGACTACTCTGATACTTTTCTGATTCACTTAAAGAAATGGCTCATGAGAGTATTATTATTTTTATTTTCAGTAATTAGACTACACTAATTGCTGTGTATGTTTTTGTTTCACTTATTCACTGCCTTATACACTGAGTGAGTTTTTTTATTCACTTAAACATTTTAATTTGCTAAAAAGAACTGATGAGTTTTTCTGATTCACTTAAAGAAATGGCTCATGAGAGTCATCTGTTTGAGAATCTGACTACACTGACTGCACAGTATTTATTTATTTTTTTCTTAAAAAAAAACAATTAAACCATAAACATAAGAGTCATTCTTTCAGAAATATGACACTGCCTTGATTTTAATTCGGCTAAAAAATAGCTTATAAGTGCATCATTTAATCACTGTTTGTTTCAAGCTTGTATGACTTTCTTTATTCTGTGGAACACAAAAGGAGACGTTTAGCACATTGTTGCTGGTGCTCTTTTTCATACAATGAAAAGATGGGAACTGTCAAACTCCAGAAAAAGTTTGTATAAAAGTTTGTGAGACAAATTAGTCCAGTAACAGCTGAAGTTCTTTTGATTCACTTAGAAGAACCAGCTCATTTGAGTCATTCATTTAGGAATCCAGCCACAATGATTGTGCTGTATGTTTTGAATTCACATAAAAATGGCATATAAGAGTCGTTTGTTGGAGAATGAGACTACTCTGATACTTTTCTGATTCACTTAAAGAAATGGCTCATGAGAGTATTATTATTTTTATTTTCAGTAATTAGACTACACTAATTGCTGTGTATGTTTTTGTTTCACTTATTCACTGCCTTATACACTGAGTGAGTTTTTTTATTCACTTAAACATTTTAATTTGCTAAAAAGAACTGATGAGTTTTTCTGATTCACTTAAAGAAATGGCTCATGAGAGTCATCTGTTTGAGAATCTGACTACACTGACTGCACAGTATTTTTTTTTTAATTTTCTTAAAAAAAAACAATTAAACCATAAACATAAGAGTCATTCTTTCAGAAATATGACACTGCCTTGATTTTAATTCGGCTAAAAAATAGCTTATAAGTGTAATTCAATTGGGAATCCAAGTATACGGTGCTGGATTTTTCTGATTCAAAAAAGAAATGGCTAATAAGACTCATAATCGTTCACCAAAAAGGCGCATAAGGGTAATTTGTTCAGGAAACAGAATACACTGGTCACACATTTCTTCAATAACATAATTTGGTTCCGGTATTTTTTTATTTTATTTTTTTGGAATACAACCCGGTTTTCTGTTCCCAACGTAGTCATTAGAGAAGAACTGATGATCTGATTGTGACTTTAGAGGTTGAGTTCTTTTGCCAGACTTGGTGACGAGGTCTTGTGTGGAAACCCTACCCAGCCTTCACTTCTGTCTCCACTGTGGTAATAAGAGAGAGCTTTTCACCATGCATACCTTCTCCAGAAATCAATACCTCCCAGGAAAACTGCCTTTAAGTGCTGATGCAGGATACGGTTTCCTCAACCTCCATCCTAATCAAAACCATTAAAGCTAAAGGGCCACACTGACTTTAGATCTACAGTTAGGGCCAACACCAGCCAACACAGAAATCAATACGCTACACCCTCTCAATCCCATGAAGCTTTGCAGCAGCACTAAACCCACACCATCTGCTGGAGTGTTGGAGATGCATCATGCTTTCAGGACTTTGACCTCAAATTGCATCACAGTGCTCTCAAGCCTCTTTAATACTCAAGCATTGCTTCAAGAATCAATAATGGAGCTCTCTGAATATTGCCGCCCCCACTTCTGTACAGAAATGAGATAACACAATGAACTGCACAAGTGATTCAGCTCATTTCTGTGCAGGAGATGCCGGAAAATAAGATGCAAAATGTGCCTCATGTCGACAGAAAATGTCTCATCAATATTTAGGGGGTTTTTAATGATGTAAAAGCTCATAACTGGATGGTGATTGGAAAGAGTGACTAGTAATGTTCTTCTAATTGTAGTTCTTCAACACAGCTGTTTAGATTATTTCAGAGTTTATTCAGTCCTTCTGTTGTAATAGCACAGTGGTTATCAAACATTTTCAGGTGATTGATCACTTTAAAATTAAAACAAAAATAGCAGACCACTTCACCACCCCTAAGTATAATATGCATATATAATTACCCTTAGTTTATTGCTTGAAATAGTCCCACTTTTACATTTTTTCTAGACTACTGTTTTGCTTGTTTCATTGAAATTTAAATAGCCTGCTAATTAACTAGATGTTAATAAAACTGAGGCAGCTGTTCACTATTTATGAAGTTTAACTACACAACTTGCATCCACTAATACATAGATGACATTATTGAAGTGAGACAACAGAATAACTATATAACAAATTAATGTTAACAGTTGTTTAATTCATTGTTATGTGTACATTAATCAATCATTACTCAATTACTCGGTAGTGGTGCTTTCTGTAAATTTGATTTATTTTTTAAAGCACTCAAATCTTAATCACACACGATGTGCCCATTTATACCTGAGATGTCTTGACTGATCACAAGACACACAAGAACCAATTATTAGGCAAAATATCTTCTTTGTGTTCCTTGAAGGAAAGTCACACTGACATGAGGGTGAGTAAATGACTTTTACTGGCTTAAAAGTCAGAATAACTTGATCATAGTTCTCATTTATAGTGATGACCAGGTCATGGTTGACTCATGATGCAGCAGTGTATTTCTCAAAACCACTATGGTGTGATATGAAAGGACAAAACTCTTGAGTTTAGTTGACAGGAAATGTCAGCTCCATTAGATGTGTTTGAAAATGCATCTTTTTTTTATTCTTTCTCACATCTCACCGCCCACTTTGTCACTCATTCATCTCTCTGCCCCCCTCCCTTCTGTCAACTCTTTTCCTTTTGCCTTTCTTTTTGAGAAAGACAGCAGCAGTTATGTTATTAGATGACTCAGTGCATTCATCTTGGGCATATTCTGACCCTGGCACATATGATGGAGTCACATACACATAAAGACTGACAGCTGGACGCACACACAGTGCATCCAGATATATTTAGGTGGACGTGATGAATCGCAAGTGAAGAGTTTTGATTTTGTTATTGCTGCTTTCTGTTTTTCTTTATCCATTCCTCCCCCTCCCTCTCTCTTTGTCTCTGTTTATCTCTATGTTTTCCTTTCGACTGATATGAAGGCCAATGCATCTGCTGACCCGTGGCCTGACACATTCAGTAGAATTTAAAGGCTGTCATAGCACGCCCACAAACAAACATGTCACTTTTTAAGACAACCTTCTTCTTGAAGATGGAGTATGAAGATGCACACAGTATATACACTTTTAAAATAAGTAACCATGAATGTTTATTGTCTAAAAATATTCATATTGATCGCACAGATTAAGTGATGTGATTCAGCACCAAAATTTAGTGCAATTTCCGAATACAATTTGTCTGTTTTGACCAGGGTAATCATACTATTATTTATATAATATTAAATGTTTATTAATATGTTGAATTTTAGTTTTAGTAGTTTTAGTAATTTTGTTATGTACTTTTGTCATTTTAATTTTTTTTTCTATTTTCTATTTTTTTTCTGTCATTTTTATCCATTTCTATTTAGCTTTTTTCAATTTTAGTTAAACTTATAGCCTAGTTTAAGTACTTAAACTTATTATTTTATTTCAGTTAGTTCCAACATTAGTTAGACAACATTTCTATTTTTTTTAAATAAATATTTTATTTTATTGCAGCTTTATTTCAATTAATTGAGTCCAAAAAGTGACTTGGGTCTTTACAATGTCATTAGTTTCCAGATAGAGGTCTGTGGAGAAGATATATTTCTTAAAATATATATATATATATATATATCTTGATCTTATACCAAGTTATATAAGGCTAAATTTTTTTGTACTTCACCACTGCCTTGACATTATTGTTTCATTCATACTGCCTAGCGCCCCCTTTTTTCTCCAAATCCCACTGGGGTCTTTCTATCGCTCTCAAAGGTCAGCCATTTATAAGAGGAAAAAGAACATGTCCAAGCCAGAGCGAACACGTCATGCAGACGTCCAGCTACAATATTTGCTTTTGATGGAGTACTTTATAGTTTGGTATACTGTTTGTGTGTGTTTAAATGGAGGTGGTTGCTGTATTGATTTCCCTGGCCTGGGGTCAGTAATGGCTGGCGGTTGCATGTCTCAGTGGGTGTAGTCTCAGCCTCAGACCTCACGCCCACGGACCATTGGCAAAATGGGAAACACTTTGGGAATTTCGAAGTCATCATCTGATTGGTTGAATTCTACAGGATTTATGGGAGACTTGTGTGTCGAGTTCTTTAACGGTTTGCCTGGAAACAAAGCCGTCATGACTCCAAACCCCCTCAGAAGAACAAAGCCGTTGTGTTTACAACTGTGACAATGAT